TATCATATCGGTAGCCATTTTCTATGGGCAAATATTGTTTGCATTCATTGCCTATATTTATGGGTTAGAAGTGTTAGAAATGTAAGTGAATTATTTAAAAAATGCAGCGCTAAAAGTTTGTATCGTTTGCGTTTCGTTTATACAATGAATAAGTTAGAAAATGCTCGGCGCTGGCAGGCTGGTTTCACAAGCGGCATTACTGGATAGTAAAACAATTTACAAAGAGTTATAGGGTAGTTCCTAGCAGCACGCACATTTTTTGATTTTAAAATAATTTTAAATAAAATTATTATAAATAACTAAATTAACACATCGCCACCCACCATACTATATTTAATTTTAGCACATATTTATATGTATTTATCAAATCTGTTGAGATTGTGTTAATAGTTATTAACATTAAATATTAAAACAATTTAATTTCTTCTATTTGCAAAATTTGAATGTTTTAATTTTTGCGATGAAATAAGTTATCGAATTGCATATTTTTATCTGTAATTGGTTTTTAAATGAAGAAAAAAATTTAAATGAATCCAAGCAAAATAAGCAAAATATTTTATAAAAAAGCATGAAAATATCAAAATGTATTCAAAAAAATATTTTGTTTAAGGAAATGATCAAACAGAATAATATTCATGCGCTTGTATCAATAACAGTAATAGTAATTAATAACAGTAATGTGGTGTTAATAATAATAATAACAATAATAAATAATAGCATAATACATAAAAACAATACAATAGCATCAAAAAAATGCGAAAATTTGGATCGAAATTATATTAAGTAAAATGATATATGGATTATTCAACTTATGTTATTTCTAAAATTAGCTGATCATGTCGATGAATGGTTTTGCAGAAAATTGTATCATTTATTGCTAAAGTAAATGCCATAATAAAAATTTTGATATTAACACATTTTGATACTTTTAGTTGAAAACTAAAAGTATGATTTCGTTTCAAATTTACTTCAATTAGTTTTTAGTTTTTAATAATTAGTTTTTAAAGAAAAATTAATTATCATATTACGATTGAAAACAATGCTGTGATAATTAAGATCTCTCCTCAGTCAATTCCCTCAGGCAATATTCATTTGTTCACTCACAAAAGCAACAAATTTTTTTTAAATGAATTTTTAAATGCATATTCATATCTTTGAAATGGAAATGTTTTTTCTTCTAACTAGTCGATTTACATAAAAAAGTCTTTGATAAAATTTTTCGGAAAATTGCATTTTGCTTTGCAAATGCTTATTAGAATATATAATATTCTATGATTAGTCTTCGCATCTATAAAATATGAGAAAAAATGAGGAAATTATTTAAATAAAAATTATACGATTAATTTAAATGCAATCATAAATGCAAAATTAATTCTTGAAAGCTTTTTTGCTTTCTGTGATGATCAACGTAAATCAATTAAATTAAGGAGTTTTATTTTCTTCTATCCTCCTTAGCTAATTTCATCATTTTTCAAATATCATTTTTATATAATAAATGCATTTAGCAATATTTTTCAAAATCTCAGCGTCTATTTTTTTTCATATTGGTTTTCTTACTTCAAATATGCTTTAAGCTCATTAAAATTTTTTGCTCTTCTTTCCAGCGGATAAGCGCACGGTGATTTTAATTTTTTTTTGGCAGTTTAGATGATCAAAAATCATATATTGGATATGATTTTCGAGCCGTGCTACTTTATGAGCTCTGCAAGTGCTTTTTTTCGATAATGCTGGAGAAGGACCAATGCAAAAATGATTTTGAAACCCGGAAACGTCGAAAATTCTCTATAATCTTGAGTTCTATAAATGACTCCCTGAAAGAAACGGCGATGATTAATCCCAAAAAACCTTTTTCAAATTTAGCAAAAGGTTTGGTGCTCAAGTGGTGCTGCATAAAGCCTGTAATGTAAAAAAAGAGAGAGCTTAAAAAATCGGCATTCCATGAATTAACTGAGTATTAGGTGAGGGCACGTTTGAGAGTGTTGAGAATTCAGGCGATAAGTGAGAATCTTAATTGAGTGATGATAAAAAGGTTATCATATTTTTGCAGAATATTTGAATATTTTGCAGAATATAAGAAAAGAAAAAGAAAAAATTACAACAAGATTGCGTTGCAAGATGTTTCTTTTTTTTTTAATGCCTCTCGTCTCCAGTAAGTTCCAAAGTTAAATCCCATTTATATAGATGTAGTCAAGGAAATCTTCTTTTCTTAGAAATCTTCTTTAAAAGAGTGAATTTTTTCAGGAAAAAAAGAAAGTTATATAAAAATTCTAAAATTTTCTTGTATTATAAAAATTTTATTAAAATTTTTTCATTTAACACCAAATAATTTGAGAAGAAAATTGTTGCCTTATTTTTTGCATTTAAGTAAGTATAAAAATACCACCATATGGTTACGATGATGACGATGGTCCAAATCAATGGGAAGGGTCTTGTCAAATAGGCTTGAAGCAATCACCAGTGGATATAACATCATCTTCAACCGATTTGGATGCTCTTCCATTGTTTCAATTCGAAAATTACGGAAAAACGGGAGATATTATATTGCAAAATACCGGAACAACAAGTTTGTTAATTTAATTATGTAAAATTTCGACATAATATCTGGCAAACATTTCTGAAAAAATTCGATGGTATAAAAATGAAAAATCTCAAATTAGTTTTAAAGTTAGCCATGGATTATTTCGATTGTTTTTTTCGAAAGCTTTTAATCGTTATAGTTGTTGCGAGTGGATTTGATAAATGGAGCGAAGTACCATTCATTCAAAGTGGCGGCCTTCGAAGCAAATATATTCTCAAGTTTTTTCATTTACATTGGGGACAAAGCGACATTGTCGGCAGTGAACATTCTTTTTCTTCGTTTCGATACCCAGCAGAGGTTTTGTCGAATTTTACCTTTTTTCTACTCCTCCAAATTCCAAGATTTGCATTTTTTTGTGTATTCAATTCAATCTTTTTGATTTATTGCCGTTCCACAACAAAATAATATATTAAGTTTCCAAGTAAAATTTTTTCAATAGCTAATAAAATGAATGATTTGTTGGCCAAGTGGTGCACTGGTACAACTGAGAGTAAAACAAGCAATATTCTTAAAAGCTTGAGTAAGGCTGTAATTAAATGAAATTCTAATAATTATCTCACAAGTGATTCTTTGACAAAAAAATTGCACTTTAATAAATATAATATAATAGAAAATAGTCCGTAAGGATCCACAAATTAAAAAAAGCACTGCTATAAAAAGCCAAAGCGGTGCTGAAATAAAAGAAAGTAAAGCATAAAATTCATCAATAAAAGTAAATTTCCTTTATATTCATAATAACATAATAATATCTAAAGAAAGGCATAATTTAAAGTGAATTTAATTGCAGTTGCATTTGGTGCATGCAAAGGAAGGCCATAGTCTCGATGATGTAACGTTAGATTCTGATGTTATGGCAATTATTGCTTTTTTCATTAAGTTGGGCAATGACGACCGTTCTTTTTATCAATTGGAGCCCCTCATGAAGGATATAATTGAATTTGGTCCGTAAGACTATTAATCCAGATTCAGATTTACGAATTATTTTCCTTCATCAATTGCATCTTTGTTTTCATAATTTGTCGAAAAGCTTATAATTAAATTGCTTCAGCTGCACACCTTTACCTTCAGGTAAATGAATCCTATTCATTAGGATTTTTTAACCTACCAGAACGATTAGTAATCGCAGGCTTTTCTTCATCTTGTCATTTATCTAATTAATTTATTTAGGGTCAAAAACTTCTCTGCATAATTTCAATCTAACGAATTTTCTTATCGGCAGTACGGAAACGTTTTATCAATATGAAGGTTCATTGAGCACACCACCTTGTTCTGAGGCGGTGGTTTGGACGCTAATGGCTGATCCATTAATCATCACTGATAAGCAGGTAACGTTTTAGTTTCTTTTCAAAATATCTCCTTTTTTCATCCCTTAGATTTTCTTCACAAACAGTTTCATAAATCTGAATCCAGTCTAATTTTTCTAAATGCGAATATAATTATGCATTTATTTGCTGTAAGTAAAATGTTGGAATTACACTTTTTTTTTCAGATGAAAACATTGCGCAACATAAAATCATCGAAGAGTTTGCCCTATGAAAATTATCGCCATGTGAGTCCATTACATGGTCGGCGAATCAAAATGAGATCCAAAAATTTCACGCATTTCAAAAGCGGTGCAAGAGCAAAATTTGACATGCAAAATTTGATTTTTTTTGTCATATTTTACATTCTTTTGTTTCTTAATCAAGTTTTTTATCTTTTTCGTCTTTTTATGGTAAATTTTTCCTCTATTTAATATTAATATTAACTAGTTTGGTTAACAATTCTTTTCTCAGTAGTTATAAACTGCCATTTTGTCTGCCATTTTTCCACATATGCCTATAATTACGTAAATGTCATTAATAGTTATCTATCCTTTTTCGTATTGTAATTTTATAATTTTCTCGTGGCCAATCAGTTATTAGTTGTATTTCCTGATATTATGGATTTCTTATAATAAAAAAGTTTCTTTTTTTTCTGTTTACATATTATTTAATCAAACTATTATTATTCAAATTTTATCGAACTTGACGGCGAAATTAATAAATTATTAAGGTTGGCATATACCAAATGATTTCGTGAGAGAGGAAATATTTTACCTCGTCCCAATTCTTCAAACATTTTTTATAAAATTTTTTTAATCTACGAAATATCCACAATTACTTGTTTTTGATTATAAGCACAAGACGAGATAATTTAAGACACAACTTCATTACTTTCATTCTCGTTTTGTGAGTTCTGAACTAAAAAGAATCTGAAGCAATATTGCGTTGTGATAATGTCGTTAAGCCCTCATAAACAGCTGTTAACTTCTTGAGCCAATAGGCGTGAATCTTGTCCTGAGGACCAGCAACTAGATGATGGTAATCTCCCGTATATTTTTTTGTAAATACACTCATAAAAAAAAGCAATCAATCTATGAAAATGGTTTATTTCATTTAGTTGAGATGGCGAAATTGCTAGTGTCAAATCAAACGTGATTTACAACAGTTAAAAATCTAGTTGAGATGGCGAAATTGCTAGTGTCAAATCAAACGTGATTTACAACAGTTAAAAATCCTCCATTTAAATCATTCCTCTTGAAATTTACGATCTTTTCCTAATAAATACATAAAAATATAGAGACCGGCAAATTGTTATTTTGTTTTTTTTTTGTGGTAGAAAATACAAGTGTACTTCGTTGTAGTGTTTCAATAATATTTCTAATATTTCTCTTTTTTTTAATTTATGGTTCTTAATTTTTTAATTTCTTAGCAGAGTTATAGAAAGAATGAACGTTTTTTCATAATCAATTGTTCAAAGCTTAAAATAATCGTCGTTCAACTGCAACGAGTGGTGACTAAAATTTCAGAATTTTCTGGTGCAATTGAACATTTGGATTTTTTCAGCAATTACGAAAATAACGCCTCATTAGGATTTCACCTTCGCTAAATCGAAAAGAATTCGTAGGTATTCTTTTTTTCGTCATATGCTTTATTGCTACTGAAATTATTAATCAACTTGCGCCGAAAATATTTCAAATTAAAACCTCTTTTGCTTAGCAGTAAGTAAAAAATTGCTTACTCCATATCGTTTATAATTTTAATAAATAAATA